TAATATTAATTACTTTAGATATTAAAAAAAAAAGCTTTTTTTAAAATATTTTTTCTTTTTTTTTTTTTTTAAATTCTCATACTAAAATAATTTTTCGTTTATTGTTTTTAATTCTCATACTAAAATTTTCGTTTTTTCTATATTATCAAATCCACAAAAAAAATTTAAAAAAAAAATAAATAAGAAACGCGTTAAAATGCAGTTTTTTAATTAAAAATATTTTTTTTTTATTTTTTTTATTTTATTTTTTTTTTTTTCTATTATTTTTGATTATTAAATTTAATAATTTTTTTTTTATATTATTATTATTTAATTAAATTATTAATATTATTGTTATTGTTATTGTTATTAGTTACCAAAAATAAAAATAAAATAAATTGTTTCAATTTTTTATTTTATTATTTAAACAAATCACCTTTGATAATAACACACTTTTACTCACACACAATCCAACAAAAGCAAAGACAACTAATAATATCAAGTATTTTTTATAAGGATAAAATATATATTTTTAAATATTTTTATCACTTTTATACTAATCAACTCACCCCTTCCACATATTTTAAAATAATTTTATATTTTTTTCTGTTTACTATAAAAAAAAATAAAAATATTTAATTTATAATTTTTTTTGTTTTTCTTTTAAAAAATAATAGTATAAATTTAAATTTATAATAAATAATAACACAATTATAAATTAATAATCTCGTGTTTTTTTTTTTTAAAAATCCATTAATTTTTTCAAAAAAAAATATCCAAAGCATAATAAATACTGCAATACAATAAATTTATTTTATTTAAAAAAAACCAAAATAACCGACTCAATTAAAATTTAAAAAAAAAACACAACAATTAATTAAAATTTAATCAAATAATTTAAAAATAATAAATTAAACATGGAAGATAATAAAGAAATACTTATCAACAACAACAATAATAGCATCAGTAATATTACTACTACCAATAATAACGATAGTTCAGATGGCGAGTTAGTCATTGAAGAAAAAATTAATAGTTTCGAAAATAATTCGATTTTAAATAAAACTACCACAACTACCACTACAACTACAACTACTACAACCACATCAAATAACAATAATAATTTATCAAGTAGTGCAAATAATACCAGAGTTATTAAATCTGCCATTGCTTCGGTTGACGAAATCGTAATGAATACCATGAAAGAGGCCACTAAATTAATTCCACAAAGGGAATACGCTGAAGAAAAAGAATTAAACTCAATTGAAACCAATACAACCACTACAACTACCACTAATGCTCACGAAGACGAAAAGTATGTTTTTATTACTATTTAAATTAATATATAATTTTAAATTTACATATTAATTTTTCATTTTACGTAAATTTTTTAAAAATTTTTTTTTTTTTTTTTTTTAATTAATTTTTTATTAATATTAATTTTAAACAGAGAGATTCATTTAGTTGCTAAAATCCTTTTAAAATTCTCATCCAATAGTGTTCCAAATTTATCAGAAAGCTCACCAGCTGTTTTAAATACCAAGTTGAAGGATAGCTCAAATTTGGTCCCATTTGGATCACAAGATTTAACATCAAGTGTAAATACAACCGGTAGTTTTGATCTTAGTGCCAGCACTGGTGATTTAGCCGGCTCTTTATCATCAAATAAAAAGAAAAGACAAAGAACTAGTCCAGAGCAATTAGCTATTTTAGAACAAATTTTCGAAACTGATAAAATGCCATCACAACAAATTAGAGTTCGTTTAGCCAACCAATTAGGTATGTCCTCAAGAAGAGTACAAATTTGGTTCCAAAATAAACGTGCTAAAGTCAAGAGAGGTGGTCCATTCAAAGATGAAGAAGGTAACGATATCTATGGTGCTGATGAAGATATGATTGATGAAGATGATGATGAAGAAAACTCATTAACAATTGACGAAGGCAATACCATGACATCATCACCACTTAACAACTCTTCTGATAATATTGTCCCATCTATTTCACCAATACTTTCCTCAACTGGTCTCACTTCACAAACTAATAACAATAATAATACTCCACCACATCTTCAATTAAACGGTGCTACACATAATCTTAATAATAGTTCACCAGGTTTAAATACTTTAAATTATCAAATTTCACAAACATTTAACAAGGTTTCTTCCTCACCACCATCACCACCATCAATGGTTCCTTCACCACACAAAAATAAAAAACCAACTTTAATAACTGGTTTTAATCAATTTAATAATAATAATAATAGTGGTAATAATAGTTTTAATAATAGTAATAGTAATAATAGTAATAATAATAATAATAATAATAACAATAATACATTATTTTCACCAATTAATTTAAATGCTACATCATCATCTTTACCATCAATCTCACAAATTAAACTAAATTCCAGTTCTAAACATATTCCAAACGATAACGATTTTAATAACAAACAAAATAACTTTTCCGATTTTTCACCATCATTAAAATTTCATAATGTGATTAAAAATAATTAAAAATAATTTAAAATATAATAATAATAATATGCGTAAAAAATAATCATTCCAACCAATAATAATCAATTTAGAACAATTTTAAAAATAATATAATATAACAAACAACGACAATTAAAATTTTAATAGAGTATATAGTATATATATGCTCTATTTTAATTTTGGTGTAATGGTAAATCACAATATAACCTTGTAAATTTAAATATTTTTTCTATATACAACATTGGAAATATTTCCAGTTTTTTTTTTTCCTCTCCACAACCTTTTTTCCTCCTCTATTCTTTTTTTTATTATTTTTTTTTATCCAATAAAAAATAAAATATGTAATGGATTATAAAAATAAACAAAAAAAAAAAATAGAGTTTCTCTATAATATAATATATATAAATAAAACTTTTTAAAAAAAAATCAAAAAAAATTATATATATACTAAACATAGTTATATAATTGGTTTATTTAATTATTTATTTTCTTTTTCTTTTTCTTTTTTTTTTTTTTGTTAAAAATTAATTTTTTATTTTTTTTTATTTTTTTTTTAATTTTTTTTTTTATGATTTTTATATTTTTTTTATATTTATTTTTATTTTATAACACACAATGAATTCATTAAATTTAAGCGAAGATGTTTTAAAAGGTGTAGAAACCTTATCAGACGAAAAGTTAATAGCAGAGAATGTATTTAAGCATATTATCGATTGTTGTTTTCAAGTAATTTTAAAGAGAAAGACTGAATCAGATTTATTTGGTATGTTAAATAGATATAATAACAAAATAATATAGAATCTTAATAAATAATAAAAATAATTAGCAATAGTGTTCTAACAGTTTGTTTTTAATTAGAAAATAAAGCAATATCAAGTGTTGATACAATTGCATTAAAACAAACATATTCAGCTTTTATTGTATTTATCCTTGAAACAATGAAGATTAATTATGACCAAGCATCAATAAAGTATGTAAAAAACAATTAATTAGTGGTTTAATAGTGTGTTGTAGTAAAGTAAATATTAATATTGAGTTTAAAAATATTATATTATTTTAGAAACTTATTAGAAGAGCATAAATTATCACAAAATAGAATCGACTTTATTTCAAATTATTTTAAAGAGTATAGAGTAGCAATTAGAAAGGTATTATCAGTAACCAATTTCCATTTCCCACACATTATTGATGTTAATTGGAGATTAGACTTTTTCATGAAATCAAATTCTGTAGAAAAATTAAATCAACCAGTTTACATTATAAATTTAACAACCGAACAAGAAGAAAATATCAAAGGTAAAGTTCAATTTGCTTGTACTTTAGAACAACTTCAAGATTTGGTATTCAAATTAAGAGATGCTCAAAAACAAATTGAAAGATCTTCAATTAAATCATAATAATTTTAATAATAATAGTAAATAATAATAAATAATAGTAATAATAATAAATAAAATCTATAACTTTTTTGTATATATTTAAAATAGCTAAATTTATTAGTTTTGTTTGTATAGAATAAATAATATATCTATACCAAAATTATTATTTTAAATATAATAATAAATATTAATCATCCCATTTTATTGATTGATCAATATTTGAAATTGAAACAGGATTTTTTTTTAAAAAATATCAACGGGGTTTATTACTATAAATACTATAAGTGTTAATTTTAATTATTTTTTATTATAATTAAATATAAAAATATTAAAAAATATTAAATTTATTTTTTATATTTTTTTTTAATTTTTTTTTTTAATTTTTTTTTTTTCATTCATTTTTTAAACACAGACTCCATAATTAATTTTTTTTTTATAGTTATTTGTTTATTGCTACATAAATTTTTTATATTTCATTTTATAATTTTATATATATATAAAAATCCTTTTGTTTGTTTTATTGTATAGTTTTGTTTATGTGTAAATAATGTTTGGATCAAATAAAAAAAAACAAACTGGTTCACCAACAATACCAAATAATACTGGTATGGAAGAAGAACCAATTCCAACAGTAGATTTCAATCAAATTGATAAGTTGTTAAATTCAGATATTAGGGATGATGACATTCAATTAACTGATGCAGATTTAGAGGATCCAGAATTATTGGCACAATTAAGTCAAATAGAAGGTGATGGTATTCCAAAACCAACTCCAAAACCACTACCACACCCAGTGTCTAAAACTGTCACAGCCACCACAACTACAACTGTTAAAAAAGCAGCTGCTACACCACAGCCAAAAGTTAAAACTGAAGAGGATGAGTTAAGGGATTTAATGGATTTCGATAACGATACAAATGATATTAATAAAGAAGAGGATATTATTGATCATGTAAATATTTTTATATATTGCTCTTTATCTATAGCTACATAAATATTAACCATGTTCTTTTTTTTTTTTTAGAAATTAATCAAAAATTTAGAAGAGAGACTAATATTTTATAGAAAATGGGCAGTTTATTCAAATCAACAAGGTGATAGAGCAGAATCATTAAAATATATGAAGGCTAGTAAGCTTATAGAGAGTGCATTAGAGAATCTTAAAGAAGGACTTCCAGTTGAGACATCTACTTTACCACCACATTTACCATTACCACCACAATCACAATCACAACAACCACAACCACAACAACCACAAACACCACAAAGAGTAGCAACATCAACACCAACATCACCAAAACCATTACCATCACCACCAACACCACAAAGAGTTGTAAATAAACCACCACCAATTCAATCACCAAAAATTGAAATTTTATCAAAAGAAACTATCGAAGCAGAGGAAAGAATTCAAACATGGGATTTAATTGAAGAGGACTTTAGAAGAAAGCATTATAATTTAACATCAGAGGCAGTTAGATTAAGAGATATCGATAAAATTACAGCCATTCATCTCTTAAAAGAAAGTAAAGGTGTTCACGCCATTATTGATCAAATTAATATCAATCGTAAATTAGGTTTGAACCCACCACCATTCCACTTTGATGAAAAGACTACAAGTACAGAAATATCATTCCCAGATATTAAAGAAAATGAAATGGTTATAAAGATTTCAGATGGTGTAGATTTAAGCAAGGCTCTCCACGGTGATTTTACAATTAGTGGCGAAATTCCATATCCATCACCTGAAACACCAACTAAATTCCAAAGCAATTCAATTGGTTTAAATGATCCAAATTTTTCCTATACAAGCAAAGTTCAAATCGAAAGAAAGAAGACACTTCAACGTTGCTTAGAAAAGAAAAAAATGACATTGGTTTTCTACTCAACCAAAATGTTTTTCATGAAGTCTGTAGTTGGCAAATGCGAAGTTAGAATGGCCGATCTTTTAACAAAATGCGAGTTTAATGAAAAGGTCCCAATCTTAAAAGATGGTTCAAAGAAAGAAACAGGATCATTTATTAATGTAAATATTAGAATGAGAACTCCATTGCTCCAAAAAGAAATGAAAGTTGTTAAAGAAAGGGTTTTGGTTTTAGATTCACCAATTACAATTGATAAATCACCACAACCATCACAACCACAACCACAACCACCACAACCACAACAAACACAAGAGCAGCAACAACCACAACAAACCACAACCATTACCACTAAAAGTTCTGAAACCATTACTACTAAACCAGATAACCCAACAACCTCAACTACCACATCACCAACTGTAACCACTACAACAGTTACTGCTCCATCTCAAGAAAAGCCTGCAGAGAAACCATCAGACAAGCCAGCAGAGAAATCAACAGCAAATGATAATGATAAAACAGACGATGAAGAGGTTGATGATTTAGATAAAGTAGTATCGAATGACGTTTTGGAAATGATTTTAGAGACAACAAAACAACAACTAGCTTCTCAAGGACCTAAGCAAGATTTATTAGATAGAAAACAGGCTGTAGAACTTAAACTAATGATATTAGAAACTAATGTTTCTGCAGGTATTTTAACAATGGATGCATATATGGAACAACTTCAAAAGGCAACAGCAAACGATATTAAATTAGCCATAGAACTCAAAAAGAAAGGTAGACAAGACTTGGCTGTTAAATTAATGCAAAGAGTATCTATTATGAAAAAGGAAATGGAGGGAGGTGATGAATAATAAATGAAAAAAAAAAGAGAAAAAAAAAAAAAAATTAAAAATAAAAATAATTATTAATTTAATTATATACAATAATAAATAAAAGTACTTACTTATAATAAATAATATAATTTACCATATTTAAAAAATAATTTTACTCTCCCAATTTTTTTTTTTTTTTTTTTTTTTTTTTTTTTTTTTTTTTTTTTTTTTTTTTGGGGAAAAAAAAAAAAAACCCAAGGTTTTTTATAGTTCTATTATTAGTATAGTATCTTTATTTAATTGTTGGGGAGAAAAGAAAGATAAAATTTGTAACCTTTTTTTTTTTCCCACCAAATTTTTTTTTTTTATATGTATCTATATATTTAAAAAAAAAAATTGAATTTATTTAAAAAGATTTTAAAATAAAATTTATAAATAGTGTAATCATTAAATTAAATAAAAGAGATTTTTTTCTCTTTAAGAGGAGATACCTGGTACTCTAACTAAATTAATTGGGTCATATGAGATTAATATTTCATCGCTTGATTTAAAAAAAATAATTATCAGTACTTTACGAAAAAAAAAAATAATTAAAAAAAAGGAAAAAAAGAATAACATATATAAATAATATCAAGTCTTAAATTTTATCCTTTTGAAAGAGAATTAAAAAATTCATAATCATAAACAAAAAGATTCAAAAAATTAAATATAAAATTAACTTTCAAACCTTTTTCTAATTTTTTTTTTTTTATCTTCAGTGTTTAATTTAAAATTTTAATTTATAATAGATCAATTATCAAATTATTTTAATTTCATTTAAAATTCACACTTTAAATTAAAAATTTTTATTGATTTAGGATTGGACACAGATAAAATTTTTTATTATCATTTTAATACCATCGGCCAAAATACAAAAACAAATGAAATTTTTTAGTATGCAAATTTTCATCATGATGATGTTATTCATTATTGTTTGTTTACTTGGGAAACACAAAATGGCAAAACCATTATTTTTATTATTTCATGTCGCATAGTTTAAAAATAATTTTAAATAAATATCAGTGTTGTGGGTGCAGTTTGCAATTCGAGTGGATTGGGATGTTCATATTTTTGAAACATGTGGTATGTGTGTGTTCAAAAAAAAAAAATAAATAGTATCTTTTTATTATTTTTTAATTTTTTAGAAAAATACAATAAAATATTATATAGATATTTGCATTTGGATAATTAAATAAAGGGTTGCGAGTGTGTCTATTTGTTTTATAAACATCACATAAAAATAATAATAACCAATAAACTTTAAAATTTAAATAATATCTATATCTTATTTAACTTATTTGAGTGGTTATATTAGATTAGACCTGGTCCACCAAGGTTTAATTCTGAGGGTTAAGATTGTGAACACACCTTTTTCCTAAACACATTTAAAAAAAAAAAAAAAAGAAAAACCCCACACACTTTTTTAAAACACACAACCACATCCAAAAACATACAACCAATTAAAAAAAAAAGATAAAAAATAAAAAAAAATAAAAAAAGACATACTACAATAGAGAAGATATATAATATATATAAGCCCTCTTTAATTTTCATTTTCATTTTCATTCTGATAAAAAAAAAATAAATATCAAAAAAAAAAATTTTATTAAAAGAAAAAAAGAAAAAAAAAAAAAGTTATAAAAATTACAAAAAAATTTATAAAAATTAAGAGACCAAATCATATATTTGCCAAGTGAAATTTTGAAAAAAAAAAAAAAAAACAATTCAATATAGGTTCATACTTTGCTGTGTATAAAGGTTTTAATAAAATAAGAGATTTTATTAAAATTATAATAATAAAAATAATGATAATGATAAAAAAAACTATCCACCCAATTCTTAAAGAATAATTAAAAAGAAAATCAATAGTTTTTTAATATGAAAAAAAAAACTCATACACCAAAAACTATTGAAAAAAACAACAGTGCCAACAACAATAACAACAACAATAACACCAACAACAACATAGCTCCTTAACTAAACCCCATCATCTGTATAATGGGTACTTCATCCTCACTACATTTTTTAAAAAAAAATTTTATCAATATAAAAAAAATTAAATGTGATGTTGTGGAGATTTTTTTTATTATAATAATTTCAAAAAAAAAAAAAAATTTTAAAATTAAATATTTTTTATATTTCAATCAATCAAAAGAGATTTTTTTTTTTTAAAATCACAAATCAATTTAAAAAAAAAATAAAATTTTTTTTTTTTTTTATATGTTAAATTCAATTCTTTTTAGTTCAAATATTATTACTGACTTTTTGATTTTTAAAGTTTCTAGAGCTTTTAAATTTCGGTTTGGTGTGTGTGTTGATTGTTGATATTTATTTTTAATATTTGCAGTTAATTAATAAATAACATATAAAAAAAAAATTGTGGGTCAAAATTTTTTTTTTTTTCATAAAAAAATTTACCACACTCCTTTTTTTTTTTTGTAGTATTTACAAATTTGCTGTTGGGGTTGTTTTTTTATGAATTACATCACCTTAAATCACAAACTTTGAAAAATTAAAATGGGCAGAAAAGATCTCTCTTGTTTATTGGAGAGTTGATATTAAAATTCCTATAAAAAATATGATTTATTATTTTATTATAATAACAATAAAAAAAATAATGTTGAGTGTGTATTAAATGTTTTTTTTATATACAATTTTATATCATGTATCCAAAAACGATATATGATCTGAAACACATAAAGATTATTAAACTATGGGAGTTGTTACTATTAATAAAATTTTTATTATTCTTTATGATATCTTATCATTAGAGGGAATATCATAATCGAATTGATGTTATTTTTATTATTATAATTAACAACAGTTAACTAAAGGTGGAATTATAGTTAAATCCTCTTTAATCTCTATTTTTATTTTTAGTCAAATGCAACCAAAAATAAATAGTATGTAATATTTTTCTTTATATTTTTTTTTTTTATTTATTTTTTTTTTTAATTTTATTCCTTCATTTAAAATTTTTTTTTTTTTTTTTTTTTATAAATTGAAAGTAAAATTTTTTTCTTTTTTTCACCACTATCAATCAATAGTAAATAGAAAAAGTAAAAAAATTAATTGTTATAATTTATTTTTTTCACATAAACACCGGATACACCACATCGTTCAATAGCAACAGATATATAACATATAATAATATTTTATTTAAATATTCAAATAAAATAATATTTTTTCTTTGTTCATATTCTTTTTTTATTTTTAATTTTTTTATTTTTGAACCCTAAAAAAAAAATAGTTTTTATATTATTTTTTTTTTTTCCCTAAATATTTTTTTCTCTACATATAAAATAATTTTATTTACGTATAAATTTTTTTCCCCTATATAATTTTTTTTTCCCCCATTAATTTTTTTCCCATATAAAATTTTTTTTCTACACATATAAATAATAAAATGTTTCAACAATCAAACTACAACAGTAACAGTACACCAGAATTTTTAGTAAATCAAAATAATTTTATGTTTTTTAATAACAACGCAAATATACCAGCACCACTCCCATCAAATAAAACACCATATAAAAACAACTCCACAAATTATATAAATAATAATAATTATATTGATGAAAATAATATTATAAATAGTTTAAGCAACTTAATAAATATCAATAATAATTATAATACAAATAACTATAATAATAATAATAATAATAATAATAATAATAGCAATGACTTTAATGTCCCAACTTTATCCCCACAAATTAACAATGTAGATTTATATTCATCACCTGTACAAACTTTAAATAATACTAATAATAATAATAATAATAACAATAATAATACACAACCAATTGTCACTTTTCCACAATATTGTTCATTAAAAAAATGCGAATTATGTAAACGTGGCCAACCACCACTTTTATTAAAAACACCAACATGGAGTTCAATTATGAGAGTTGTATTTTTTACTCTTCATAATGAATATCCAGATAAAGAATATTTCTCACTTAAAACTGAAGTATATGAATTTATGACTTCACATTGGGAAAGACTATGTATAAATAGAAAAAGAACTGACAACTGGAGAAAACAAATTCAAGATATGCTCTCACACAGTAAGAATGTATTTGAATCTGGCTTAGAGAAATTAAAACAAAACGGCTTCTGGAAATTAAGAACCATCATAGATCCATGGGTTATCAATGAAAAATTAGATTCATCTGTAAATTCATCACCATCTATGTCATCTAATAATTCATCACCATGGAGAAAGAAAAGAAACCATGAAGATATTGAAGAAAGCGGTAACAATAATAATAACAATACAAGCGGCGATAAAAAATTAAGATGCTCAAACGAATCTGTTTCACAAGTTCCATCATCCCCATTAAGCGACCAATCAGCACCCGAATTAGAATCATCATTAAAAGAAATTGACCAAATTTTTTCTAAAGAGATCCAATCCATCAGATGCGAAACTAAAAAATTTTTTAAATTATTACCAACTATTAAAAAAGATAACGAAAAATTAAAATCAATTCAACAAACCCTTTCATTATTTGAAAATCGTTTAAATATCTTAGAAAAAGAAAAAGAAAATATTAAAACTTCATCGCCATCCCTTTCTTACCCATCATCTCCACAAAATTTTTGCGAACCATCATCCCCATTACAACAAACCCCATCATCTCCATCCCAACCAAATTCAAGAGCTACATCTCCATTACCACTTCAAAGAATAACTAATCCATCAAACTGTACAACTAATAATAACTCGAATCAAAAATTATTTTTTATATAATGTAAATTAAAATTTTTATAAAACAATTTTTTAAAAAAAAAAAAAAAAGAAAAAAAAAAAAAAAAACCCTGCAAACTATTTAATAAAATTTATTAAAAACAAATATTTAAAAACTTATTTATTTATTATTTTAAACAAAAAAAAAAAGTCTTTTAAAACTATTTATTTATTTTTTTTTATCTGTTTCCCAAAAAAAGAATTAACTTAAAACAATAATTTTTTTATTTTTTAAATATTTACAAAAAGTTTTATTTTTTTATTTTTTATTTTTTTTTATTTATAAAACAATCAGTTTTATGGTCAATTATATAAGTGAATAGTTTTATAGTGATTATTATTATTGTTATTGTTATTATTTATTTAAAGTGAATTCCATTAGCATGGAAAGAGTTTAATAATTTCAAAAAGTCATTGATATCCATCTTTGACGAACGATTCTCTAAATATTCCATATCTGATAAAGTTTTAATGATTAAATCTTTCATTTGTTCATCACTACCATCGGTACCCATTTTACCTGAAACTGCACAATAGGTTTTATAATTTTGATTTAATGTTTCAATGACACTACCAACACGGAAAATACCTGATAAAGTTTTATTTTTTCTTGAAAAGCATAATTTTACTAAACCATCCCATTCGATAAAATTAATTGGTGGTGGTGGATTGAATGGTTCGATTTTAACAACTGCTGACTCTACTTTTGGTGGTGGAAGGAAATTGTTTTTACCTACTTTCATTAAATGTGTTACTTTTGATAAAAGTTGTGTATTAACTGATAAACGACAATATAAACTATCACCTGGTTTTGCTGCTAAACGAAGAGCAAACTCACGTTGAAACATGAGAACTGCCGTTCTAAAAATTGGTCTATGTGCTAATAATTTAAATGTTAATGGTGATGAAATCTGTTATAAATAAAAAAAGTATATATTAGTACAAATATATCTATGAATATATATATATGATAAACATTGATATATTTAAATACATACTTGATATGGAACGTTAGCTACACAAACATCAAAATATGGTAAATCAACTTTTAAGAAATCACCTAAAATAATTTGTAAATGTTGAGCATATGGTCTAATATATAGATAGATAAAAATTAATAAAAATGAACCTAAATGATTTTAACATAACCTATAACCTATAACCTAATGATACTTACGAGGCAGCAACTCTTTTTTGTAATTCAGCAGCCATACGTGGATCAACTTCAACTGCAATAACTTTTTTACAATTTTCTAAAAGTTTCATTGTAAGATTACCTGTACCTGGACCAATTTCCAATACTGTATCTGTTGATTTAAGTTGAGCCTTTTCGACAATAGAATCGATAATTAATGGATTCTTCAAAAGATGTTGACCATAACTTTTATCTTTAAAAAAAAAAAGTTAGACACTATATAGCGATTTGATTTTGGTTTGAAATTAAATAAATAAATACTTACTCATTTGAAATTCATGGTGTCTAGCTGCTGTATTAGATTTAGTTTTATCAACCTTTGTTGACTCTCCACCGATTTTAACTGGCTTAACCATTTTATATTATTTACTTAGTGTGTATGTGTACTACCTTTAAAAAAATTTTAAAAAAAAGTTTTTTTTTTATTTGATTATAAAAAATTAAAAAATAAAAAAAATAAAATTTAAAAAAAAAAAAACGAAAAAAAAAAAAAAGAAGAAAAAAAAAAAAAAACGAAAATAATAATAAGGTAGAAGAGTTATTATTTAAAATATATTACTAAACTATATAAAATAGTAATATATGAATATATATAAAAACAATCTTGTTTTTTTTTTTATTTAGAATATTTTTTTTTTCTAATTATCAAAATTATTTAAAAAAATATTTAATTTTGCATTTGATTTAAAAATTTCCAATAATGTATTAGTTTTTTGTTTATCTAAAGATAATAAATAGCTTTTGTTCTCAGAGTTAAACAATGATTCACATAACATTACAAAAGCATCCATATTAAGTGTTTTGTTTTCTATATAATGTTTGTTGAATAAACAAATAAAATCAATGAGTTGTTCACATTTTAAGTGTTTGGTTAAAAAAATTGAAAACTCCATTTGATTTTGGTTTGTATTGCCGCAAAGACATAAATAAGAGTACCAGATCTCTAGCATCATCTTGGTGGAATCAGAGCCATTGTCACTTGAAATTAGGCTTGGAAGAGTGTTTAAATAATAGTCATTGATCATTGATAAATAGTAGTCTTTAAATTTATACATTTCATTATTGAGGCTTGGACTAACTGCTTTATAGTATTTGATCATATGTTGATATTGGGCGAAATTTGGGGTTTTAATTGTTTTATATAATTCTTTTAAATGATTTGTAAGGGTTGGAATGAAGTTATTTACGTTGTAGTTGATATATAGGCTCCAGAAACGTGAGATATCTTCATTGCCGTCAGATACGATAATTTTGTTTGGTAAGACCACTGATAGATAGCATGTTAAAAGTTGTTTAATTAATTCGTCGGTTACAACTTCTGGGTATCTTTGATTTAATGGTAATACATATCTATTTAATAAATCAATTTTTGCCTTGCATTCGTTGTTGCCAGTGCATTGAAACATTCTTAATAAAATGTTTTTAACGTCATTTTCGGTAAATTTTTCTATATCTTTTGGTAAAAATTTAACGAAGTTGTCTAAGGTTTCATATTTTACGGTATTTACATTTGTAGATTGTGTTTGGGTTTGGGTTTGAATTGGTGATTGTGAAAATGAAGCAGTTGATGAGGTTGATCTTGATAAACTGTGTCTTACTTGATTCATGTTGTATTATTATATTATTATATTATTATATTATATTATTATAAAGAAAAAAAAAAAAATTATTTTATATTTTAAAAAATGTATATTAGTTTATAAAAAAAATTTACAATATTTATTTGTTATTTATTATTATATATATTATTACTATTAAATTAAATGTATTTATTTTATATTTATTTATTAGTTGTTTGTTTAAGTTATTATTATATTATTATTATTATTATTATTAGTATTATATTGTTATTGTTGTATTAAAAATTTTTATTTGCGCAGAAGAAATATTATAATATTTTTTAAAAAATTGTATATGTACAAAAATATTATATATTGAACAAAAAATTAAAAAAAAATTAATGACCTTTATATTTATTTTTTATTTTTTCAAACTTAAAAAATTAAATTAAATTAAAATAATTTAAAATTAAAATTAATTCTTAAATAATTTCTGGAATATTAAAAAAAAATAAAAAAAAAATAAAAAAAAATTAAAAAAAAATTAAAAAAAATTATTTTATTATTTTTTATTTTATTTTATTTTATTTTTTATTTTTTTTTTAAATTTAAGTTATTTTTTGAAAACCTGTGTGTTTATGTGTGTGTTTATGTGTGTTATAGTGTGTGGCTATTTTTGTTATCATGATATTAGATTCAATATTGAACAACATCATCTATCGATAGATTATAAAAATAGTGTTTAAGTTTATGATAATGAAATAGTTTTATATATTTTATTAAATTATTAAATTATTTGATTATTTGATTATTTGATTATTTGATTATTTGATTATTTAATTATTAAATCATTAAATCATCACTTAAAGTATACATAAAAATCAAGATGAGTGCACCATCATTGTTTTATTTTATTTACTTCCAAAAAAAAAAAAAAAAGAAATTCAATCAATCATTGTTATAACATTCGAAGAATTTCCGTTCTCATAATTTTTTTTTTATATTTATTATTTCAATGGTATCATGAAAACTAATCAAGAGACTAACAATTATTTTCTGCAATCATGGAAGCATCATAATTCATTCCGTAAGCTTTCTTTTTTTTTATTTTTTTTATTTTTTAATTTTTAATTTTTAATTTTTAATTTTTTTTTTAATTTTTTTTTTATTTTTTTTTTTAATAACCATTTTTTTATAATAATTAAAGAAAAAAAAAAAAAATATTTATAATAACAAATTATATATAGATTTATATAAATAAAAATTTAAAATCTTAAAAATATAAATAGAATTCTATTTAAAATTTCTTTTTGTTTTAATTGAAAAAAAAAAAAAAAAAAAAAAAAAAACAAATTTTAAAAAAAAAAAAGTACCAAAAAAAAAAAGGTTCCAAAAAAAATAAAAAAAAAAAAAAGGGAAAAAAGAAAGGGGGGGGCATAAAAAAAAACAGGGGAAATTTTTTCAAAGAAGGATTATAATTTGGCAAAGTTTTATTTAAAATTTTAAATTTTTTTTTCCAAAACCCAATTTTCCAAAATTTTAATTTTTAATTTTTTAAGGTTTTTTTAAGGTTTTTTTAAAAAAGGCCCCAACCCAAAAAAAAGGAATTTTTTTATAAAAAAAATTATTTTTTTTTTTTTTTTAAAACCCCCAATTATGTCTTTGAAAATTAAAAAAGTTTTTCTCCACCCCCGGAGGAAATTTCAATTTTGGACCGGTGGGAGGAACCGGCCTCAAATCCTCCAAAACCTGCCCCTGGGCGGAAATCCAAAAAACCCAAAAACTTTTGGAGAATGGGGGCTTAAAAGGGGGGGTGGCCTTTTGGGAACGGGGGTTGAAA